AGATAACGATGGAAACTGCCTCCAGCCTCTCTACCAGACAAAAAAACAAAGAGTTTATATACCTCGTTTCTAACCAACCGAATAATATTACAGACAAAAACGGATCAACTTGGAATACGATAATGTGAAACCTGTAGAGTTTGTAAACCCTGTAAACTCCTGTGCTAAAGACACCTTGGCTTTCTTTGTAGGATCCTCTTACTGAGTAGTCTTGCTACCAAAGTGATGGTGACCGATTATTGCAGGATATCATGTTATGCCTCGTCCACATAGCCCTCAAGTTTTGTGGACAGTTTACGAAATGAGCCGTCTACCTTGAGAATCGGTGCATATGAGATGTGTTCATTTGTCGTGACAATGTACTTGATTATATTTTAATGCCCTTCACAATTGGTCAAGCTAAGACCCTACAGTACCCCCGAATGAACCACTCTTAAAACAATGATATACCATTCCCTCCCAGTATGGAACACCGCAAGACCTGGTCACAGTAGTAGCTACTGTATGCAGGTTTCTTTCCACAAAGAGTCATCCAAATGGTCACTGGATCAAGCACCTAAGTTTGCGAGAAACCCGCTGGCTTTATTCCTATCCATAAGGTGGACTATAATTCTGACTAGCCTACTGCCACTCTCTCTTCCAGTTGAAAAATTTAGGTCAAGTCCCGGAGTTTCAAATAGACTTATTCTCCCACTTGAATACCAAATTGTATGCAGTTTTTTCATAAACACCAACATGCATATTAAAATAATATCGGCAGACACCAATGAGTTTATTATCTATCTGTTGTTTTGTATTACTCTCCAACTTAGTGTGCTGCACAAAGTCCACTTCGAATTTCATTAGGGACCATCAAAGAAGGACCACAGCACGATACAAACCGGGAACGAACCAGAAACACCCCAAAGCAGTCTTCCAACCAACCAATGGAATACAATATGTACAGCCAATAACGAAGCGCAAATCATGATCGGGTCAACAACATTGCACGAAAGGTACATACCAGTTAACCAATCATGTGAGAGGATATTAGATACTCTTCAAAAACTGTACAGATGCTGCTAGGCACGAAGGAAGCATCCACTCAACTGAGCACTGACCATGTCTCCTCTACTGTGGATGAAACGTTTGCAAGCCAAGCTTGGCGAACAGATCAACGACGATCTGACCGACCGCCATTGGGAACCATAATCAAGATATTGGACTGTGCTCCAGTTCCATTCATACCATCGACGAGGTTTAACAAGGAGTTTCACCATTCATGAGTCTCTCGTCAACAAAGATAACTTAAATTGAAAACAATCGTGTTCCGTATATTCCTCTGTTCGTTTGGCTCCATTCGAGGGATAGTTGTCGAAATTACGAGCACTTGATGCGGGCAAGATGCGGCTCTAACATAGTCTCAAAGACAGACTGCTGTTACTAGTCAGCCAATGATTCATCTTTCTTTTGGCTGTCTAACTGGATTGCTCATCATACTAGTTAGAGCGCGAATTTACTGACTGGAAGGTCCATGGTTCGAATTCGACCTCTACCTGTTGACTTCCCCTGTCTAGGCTTGGGCAACCTGGCAGTATCCCAGCCCTTGTGCTTCCTTCGGGTCTTATGGCAGCTAGCCACCGAAATGATGTTACAGCTGAATGATTACTATTATTAATGATTGCTCATCATATAAAGGGGAACATGATAAAGTGCTAAATCAAATTCCTTGGTAAACTAATACTGGTGACTCGGCCACTTGTCATGTGCCCAGTGTGTTTGAAAGCGAGTCAGGAATAAGGCGAACCATGGATCTGTGAAGTCGGGGCTCCAAACTGAACGAAACTGGTTTGAAATGTAAAGAATTCTGACACAGTTTCACTCTCGTATTATCACAGTGGTCAATCTGTATCGCAGTGACTTTAGAGTCTGCTTGATGGACGTTACCAGTCAGTTACTAGTGAGAACAAGACCAAACATCGTTCGATTGTGGGACAGACCACACGCGCAAAATCAAAGATGGAGTAAGCATTTCCATATTAACCGGTACATCCCAGGAGAGTGAAACCTGAGTCGAACACAATCTACAGATATACATTTGAGCAAGATGGCCCAAGTGGTTAGAACGTGAATTTACTGAAGGTCTGTGGTGTGGTTCGAACCCACCTCTGCCTCTCGACTTCCCCTTGGGCAACCTGGCAGTAACCCAGCCCTCGTAAAACCTTCGGGTGGCATGGCAATTAGGCACCGAAAGGGTGCTACAGCTGAACGATACATACAAATATACATTTGGAAAATAACATACAGTACCATTCTTTTTTCAAACTTTCGATTATCTTCAAGAGTGTTACACTCGTTTCGCATTGTCCCATCAAGTCTTTTTGACTCTTTCGCCCCTCTAGCACGAACAAAATCACTCTGTACATCCTTACTGGGAATCAACAGCGGTGCAAATCTTACAATACTTCAGGGAGTCTTGACCACGCTACCCCGGTTTGGGCATTTAATCTTGCAGTCACTAGCACCTAATCAACAGTGTGATTAACTCGCACTTGGGCAAGATATAACACCACACATACTCCAGTCACAGCATCAACAGCATGTGATGTTGACTGGCTCTTGTGGTGATGACGTCTAAGTACCTGTGCGGTCCATTTGGATTCCTGGTTTCACAACTGGGAATTCATGGGGTGAATGAGTTTACAACCGTTTGTAAGGCTCAAGCCTCATGATACATTGAAGAGTCGCTGCATTTTACTTTGATGTATACGGAACTTTTAGTCGTCAAACTCATTCAAAATAATCTTCAGAAATAACCAGAAGATTCGCACTTTACTTTTGAACGTCCAGACTTATCGAAACGAATCGGAACTTATTGCCATGCGACAACGTGTTTATCTATCTTGATTTCGGAAAAGCTAGTTCTCATTTTGGAGTAGTAGGGTCGGAACAGTCACAACATAAGGTAACTTCTTCTGGTTTTCGCATTTTGCGGGCTCTATACTGTGTGGCAGAGACTGCATTCTTCAGGGCAGCAAATTGGAAGAGCAGTAATACTCCCGGATTTGTAGAATTTTGCATGCTAAAAGCACCATTCATGAAAACCTGCCTGTTGCCAACAAGGTCGAAGAGCTTTCCTCATTCTGACTGTTAGCTGGAAAATCCTATGAACTTTTATTAACAGTGCAACCAATCGTTTAATTTCTCATTGAATCAGTAGGTACTTGTAGACGATCGATGTTGGCAATACTCATATAGTCCACTCGACTACGAGATGAGACTCCGAACGCATCTTTGAATCATTCGGCGTGTATCAGTTTTTCACGTCTCCATCGTTTGTTATGAAAAATGTCGTTAAATTCGCACCATGATGGTCCAGTATAAGCACACGATAATATTTTTGTGAAGAGCACAGTTTTATCGAACGAGAATTTCACTTCGAATCGGTTTTTTTCGAACGAATGACCAGATAAATGACCGATCGTTGCAATGCGACGTTTCTATAACACAACCGGCACAGTTGGCTACGATTAAGTTGAGTCTCTCATGAAAACCAAACTCATTTGCAAGTGAGAGTCCAATTTAGGTTCAAGTAGAACATAAGATTGACGGAAACTCGGAGACTGCGGCTAACTGATGGGCCACAAGAAGGGCGAAACCGGTCGTGGGCTGTCGAAGAGTTTTCAGCAACCTTGTGAGTAGTTTCATTTATGAAGATTTTCAGTAGGTTTTCCCATTTTCGGGCCTGAAACAAGTACACAGATCACTCAGAAACCCAGTCTACAGTCGTGGCCCGAAAAAGAAGACATCAAAACATTTCAAAGTCTAAATGTTACATTATCTGCATTAGAAATAAATTGATTGGGCAAATTCAGAATATGAGAGCACTCATTGTGTAAATGGGTTGTGGTACAAAATGCCTTGTGGGGTGGTGAGTTTTGCCTCCACTTTGAGCAGCATTATTCGGCTTGATTTTTTGACGGGATGAAGTTCAGTTCATCTGTGTGGAACAAAACAATCACGAGAGTGAACGCTGGAAAAATTATTATTAGTCCAAACAAAAAAACGCATACAGTACTAATGAGAGACAGATATGTGATAAAGTTACAGGCACAGCTGTGCAGCGGACTTAAGATTTTCGGCGTGAACCGTCTTGCCCGCCCTAGAGGGCTAAGTTTCTGTCATAATTTCCTACTATCACTATCACACTGTTGAGAATGGAAAATAGCTCACAAGCTGCGTGATCTTTCTAGCTGAGGAGTGATCACCCAAGGAGTCAATCAGCTCGAGATCATATCACGTGAGTCGTGTGACTGAAGGATGAATGGTGTCATATCCCGTCCAAATGTGTGCTAAAAGCGCTGCTAATCAAACGCCCGCGGAGAGCCCAAATACAGAGATGGTCTCTGATTCAAGCTGCACCTGATCTTTATAAGCTGCGCGTCTCTGATTTCCCCCAAAAAAGTTGAAACAGTTGTGCGGTACATCTAGACTATCCAGCACACACTGGCTATGATTGAAGGGAACCTCAGTTAAAACTTCGAAGACAGTGGGCAAGACAATAGAGACAACAGATGCGGATAGCTTCTTTGGTTTGATGTTAAGTGATTAGGCATGTCCGCCATGAAGAGAACTGAACCTTACCTCGGTGTGACAGTTTGTGAGCCTCCGCGACCCATAGAGCCATACTCGCGGAGTCTCCCATTCAAGGTCCGTTAAGGATTAGAAGTCAGACCAACACAATATCCTGACCCTCCAGGTTGACAGTTTAAATATGTGTGTTGACTTGCTCCGTAAAAATTGAAGTGCGCTTTCATTCTCCGCCAAACAGCTCTGCCTCAAAGTCAGGCTTCTGAGCCAATGGCTTGAGTTGAAGAATCTAATCGTCCCCCCGTCTAGCTGCAGACGACCCAGCAGTATCCCAGTCTATGAATGCCACTCATATGAATAATCTCATGCCACATCGGTACGGCAGCAGAGCATTAGTGCTAAACTGATGTGCTGTCGATGATGATGACTGCGATGATGATGGTTGACGATGATGATGATGATGATGATGATGATAATGACGATGATGATGACGATGATGATGTTAATGAAAGAGGGATGTTCTGTTTTGACAGGCGTTTCATGATCACCGAATTACTTTCTGTGGGAATCCAGTGACTAAAGTAAATTCTAAATACAATCAAATGGATTTTGTTGAACGTTTGTTCCACCCACTACCACAAAACGAGTTTAAGCCCTCCCCTCGAGAACACAGTCGATGCAATCGATCATTCATACAAACGCATACACAAAGCTCTAGTTGAAAACACAAATGGGCATAAGTTTATTACGAATGACTATTTGAAAACCAAAGTCGCTGTTTCGGAAGAAATCGTTTCAAAACAAGGTTAATTCAGCAAAGCGCTTTCAGTAAGGGGTCAAAGTGTCAGAGACCAGTCATCCGCCACGAAGTGTAAAGATGAACGTGGCGAACTAACAGCCTCAAAGTGCCGTGATGTATCGTGATTTCAATAGAAACAACTTTCATACCCCTCCCTTGAGTAGTCATTACCCCATCTGATCGTTTAACAGATTTTCCGATCCTATTTGTATGTGGTCAGAATCATACGTAGTTTCAATGCCAGCCTTTACTCACTGATTACTTGCAAGTTTTTTTCGCTCCGCAACTCATCAAAAATTATACAGTTCAGCTGTAGTAACCTTTCGGTGCCTAGCTGCCGTGGTACATGAAAGAGGCACGAGGGCTGGGATACTTCCAGTTTGCCAAAGCCTAGACAGGGAAAGTCGAGAGGCAGAGGTCAGGTTCGAACCACGGACCTTCCGGTCAGTAAATTCGCGCTCTAACCACTTAGTTCATCTCGCCTCCTATACGATTCTCTGCCGTGTGTATGATCAAAAATATGGTAGCGAAAAGGGCTGCCAAAACGTTATCTGTGCGAGCAGAGTTGATATACAGAACGGTCGGCCCGTTCCGTCACAGATCAAAGTAAACAAAATTCAAAATGAGTCGGACTAGCAGTATTCACACACATTTCAGTCTAAAACCAGTAAAGAAAATCAGATATTTTCTTTGGGTGCCACGTGGCTATGATTAAATTGTCATTCAGTTATTTCCCCCTTCGTCTACATCACCAAGACGGTTATACTCAGATAAAACGGTACAGAGTAAGCTCAGGTTTCCAATAAATGCATGACCACTGAGATAAGATTATCAGTAGTACCAAACGTTCAGAACTGTTCTATTCTCAGACAACTCCTTTTCAAACGGAGAGTTTGCAGGTAGACCAGGTTATGATAGGCTCTCTGCAGCCAATCGCATTTGCCAACATGCAGTTCTCGCTTTCAGTCAACAACTAAAACGGTCAGTGATGAAAAAACAGCTGAGGGACTTTGAAAAAATGAGTCACAAATACCTATCTGCACACTTCAACCTTTGCCACAGTTTATCACAGTCATTGAAGTTGAGGAATTTTGACAGTGTGGTCGGACCTGTTGATGCATCTTATACTGGATCACATGAAGGTTAGAGCGAATTTATTTAACACTCCTTCTTAGGTTGATAGTGCTGCCAGAAAATGAAGCTGTTTGAATTTCGAGGGACTGAGGATGGTCAATGTTATCTAAGGACAATAACTCGATACAATATATACCTGTTGCTAATGAACAGTGTTTGATATATGGTATCGAATGAGAACAATGAGCTTTTTTATGAAACACTGCTCCTGTCATTGGTATTACATCTTCTCCCAGTTGTGTGAGGAGATTTGAAAAGTTTTCATTCGATATTTCGTCCTGTAAGTGAAGTTCATCCATACTGAAAAGCTGAAAAGCCCTTAACGGCTGTTTGATACCAAAAATCAGCAGCAGCGCGCATCCCGAGAAATCCCTGGGAGTTTTGCCCCGGCTAGTAATTTGACCGCTTAACCGTTCGGCCACGAGCGGTGTGAATCACTAACACTTCGACGACATACAGCCCCACTCATCCCTTATGCTTACGCCTTAGGTCATGTGATGAAAGTCAAGGACACCGATGCTGAAAAGCCCCCTCAGGAACCACTTGCAGGACGCGTGTCACTCCGAACCCAGTTAGGAGTAATTCAAAGCGCAAATAAGTTACCTATGCATGGCCAAAATCTGAATTAACCCACAAGTGTACGGTATGTAGTGTCACCATCCTGCCTCACACAATGTACCTCATGTGACCTGATTTTCAGGCCTTTGTGTGATAGTTTCTCGGATGAGACCAGTGGAATTTTTCACTTCTAGGCTCAGATAGTTTGCACACACTGAAGGGCTTTTGTACTTTCTACAAGAAACTGCCTAATCATCATGAATACCAACAAAATTCTCACTGAAATTCGCTTAAATATCATAAATTAGAATCTTTGTAGTGGCAGCTCCAACATTTGTTTAAGATCTGATGGGGTGGGAACAGTATGGGAATCTTCCACTTTTGTGAGGAAGTTGTTCCTGAATCCCTTGGTTATCTGCAAAATGAGGAACGAGTGAGCCGAGTTATAGACGAATTCCAACGTCGCATGTATCTTTCCCAAGCACATCTGTCCTTCTGTACTAAGTTGGTTTTATTTTTTAAGAAATTGGAAAACGGAAAATTTGGAAAGGATGACAGTCTTGGAGTTGAAATCAGCCGAATTTTGATACGGCATTCTAACCATTTGTTATCCAAAAAAAATCAGTCTACAAACTTTTGTTTTTACCCTAGCTGTGGGAATCCAGTTGCTTCAACGAAACGTACATTTACATCTCACATCACAAATTCATCCTGACCATACAGGGTTGTTCATAGCAGACAATAATGTCACATTTTTATCTCAAAAGAGAACACAGATCACCCAGTCAGGTAACTAGTGGCAAGTAGCAACTAAAACATTTCACTTTAAATAATTCTAAGAAAGCATCACCTTTTCAACAAAATTTATGGATTAGCTAATATCTTGATAACACTTATTTCTTGTTGTCTCAGTACAAACGAGGACCAAGAAATGAGTCTGGGCTCCAAGTCTTTACGGCTCGATCAGGATTCGGGTCCAACAGTTGCTGCTTTTGAATGGAACTCACCGGTGTATTTTGCGTCGCTACCACCCTGTTGATATCGATCAATTCTTCAGAGGGACTTCTGGGACGTACACATCAGCGACCTGTTGTGGATGAGAACAGAGGAGCCAAACACATTGAATCACACAATGAGGCAGAATTTAGGGAGCACCATTTCTATCGAGATGCTAATCAGAAAAATTCTCAGCATGGGATTGATATCGGACGAACTTCATCCAAAAAGCACAAGTATTGTACAAAACTTCATTTCTACGTGTATGCTCTGTCGTTAGTTAGGCCGAATGGAACAAAGCTCTGAGCTCAAACGGTCACGTGACTGAACTAACTCAAACTCAATTTGCTTGCGAATGTAGCGCATTGCTACTTGCAGAAGCCCTGACTATTTACAGCACCGAAGCAGACAAGCTTCCCCTTTTGATTTACCTGTAACTTTTGAATATGTGGAGTACAGAATATCACATTTAGAACAGAAAAAAGGTTTGTGATGGCTATTTTTAGAACATGGTTCGAGACCAAGCATCAACTAGATAGATGAAGGAACAGTGGCTGACTTGTGATACACTTGCTAATGGTTCTTTTGAAACCGTCAGCACCTGGCAACATAAAGCGGCTCTTTGATTTTTATTGTACAGACTGATTAGCAGAAAGCGTATCGAAAACAAGTCCAAGGACACATTCTAGTTTGCAGTCGTTTTCATAAACCCAGGTATCCGAGCAGTTTATAATTTTTGAGTGGCTGTCGGTAGGCCATATCATGTGCACAAACATATAATATGGAACTCGTTTCCTAGTGCCGGCACTCCAACAGGAACGCGAATTTCTTGTTATCTACGAGATTTGAGACAGATCCAACCAAACTGCAAACATTACAGTATACGAAAATTGCGACCAGTCCTAGTAAAACTAAGATCTTATGCCTCAATCACTGAAAGTTCATGACATATTTTACGGTAAAGTTCGAATGTAAAAATGAGCTTTGAATATACTCCTAAAATGCACTGTTACGTGTGCTTTACAGGTGTGGAAACAGAGCACCTTAAGCTTCTGCTTGCGCGATCAAACTATCTTAGGAAATTCTTAGAAAATTTGAAACAGCTTATCGTCATTTGGTTTCCTGAGGACTTAAATTCTACCCATTGTAACTTTTGAAAAATCAGTGATTGCTTCCCTTTCAGCAAGTCAAACAAGAAAGCCCAGATAGGAGTTCTCCCGGCCTATTGGTTAGGAAAAAGCCCAATTGTTACATGAGTTTGTGCCAGAACTGCTGGAACCTTCGTGGCATTATTCAAGACTCTTTCCGATTGGCCAAATTGTCAAAGGCATTCGTGATTGGTTTGTTGACCGGGGTCTGTCACAGGGACAGCTTTCAGACATTTTGCTCATTATATTTTTCCCGGATCGTTTTTGTATCGGGTTTCAGGCTTTTAAACACTGCAGACTCTATGAGCTAATACAATAACGTGAGGTTTTGCAACAAAACAAAACAAAAAAAACAGAAAATTCCAAGGTGCCACACGATCTTGGGTGTCACATGAGCACAGGTGTTCGGCGTAGTTCTGGTTGACGATTCGCCAAGTGTTTATTCGTTGAATCTTTCTGGATCAACGCACAGAAGCCTCTGGCTGGTACGGTTCAATGCATCCCAAAGGATGCCATCCATTTATCTCTTCTGTGCCATTTCCGTAAGCAAATCCCTTCTAAGCCTTAGGAAGGAGATATCAGGCTGGTAACTAATGGAATCTAATTACTTTCATCAAAAACAGTAGAGGTAAATTGATTCTTCACACGTTCACACTCCAGAATGTTTACTCTACATGCTCGACTTCTTTTGGGCTGCGCAAAAGAGATAAGAGGACATCTGAAATTGCACACATGGTCAGAAGAACGTACACGACTTTCCAGTTCCCGCTTTCGAGCCTCCATGTAGGCAATGTGTGCGCGTACTCGACAAATAACATTGATCAGACAAACGGCCGTCACTCCGATTGGAATGCTCAGGGCGATACACACCATAGCTGTCACTGCTAACCAACTGAAATGGAAGAAGTAAAACAGTTATTTTTTTATCAAAAAATGTGTCGCCGGCTCTCGCAAACGTCAATTTACAACCTAACTTTTGATTAGTGGTGATCAAGTGATTTACATGACTAGAGAAACGGATAGTTAATCAAATTGGTGGTGCACTTTGCACCCAGAAGAGGCTGTTTTGGATACCAAAAGACATGTACTTTACCGGGGAGTTCTGCATTGGAAAGCGTGAGTTCGTCAATAAATGAAACCAGCCTCTCACCTTGAACTTCGCGGTTATTTTGTAGAATCGTTCTGTTTTTCCCCGTGTGTGAATGTCAAAATAACGGAACGTAGTGCAACTACTATCGGAATTTGTGCTGAGGCATCATCATGGCAGATCCTCCCTCCACTTCTTGAGAGGGACAACTGAAACGAACTCACATCTGTTCGTCATTCACCGTGTAAAATGAACTCTGCTTCTTGGGAAATACCTTACTCTAGAACTCATTGCAAGCGAATTCGCTGACTGCTCAAGCCTTGTGCGGCGAGATGGTGATTTTTAGGGTTGAATGTCTAAACGATTAGCTGAAGGATCCCGGTAAGCCCGACGTCCCCGCAACGTTAATAACAAGAACTTCCGTGCAGAGAGCACACGTAGGCAAATTCGGCACAACAGCGTCATACACAATCTTCTTCGATAAGGCGAACACTCCCATATATCAACAATACATTGTAGGGGCCTTAGTTCCCCTTACAAGTAGCTGCTTCATACTAATAAACCCCTTGGTTCACTTGGTTTCTGAGAACTTATAACTTGCAAACTCTGTACAGTATAAGACGTATAATCTGTACCGTCCATTTTTCAGGACTACTATCCACCTACGGATAACCAGTAAAGATCAGACTTCCACTGTCCAACGGATACCGTTATGAAGAGGAACTTACACGAGCTAAACTGAAGTACCTTGATAGGTCTTCAGAGAATCCGTCACACATAAATACACCCAAGCACCTATCTGCGGTTTTGTTAGCGCTTGGATACTTCAGACAGCTAGAGTGTTGGACTGAATAACCCTATGGCACATAGCAAAGGTGGCAACGAGCCGGATTGCAAATGCTTCAGGTGGCTACTGAAGTACAGTATTCTGTCTTTTTTCACTTTTCTCTTAGCTGTACCGCACTCTTTCTCCTGTGTGTTCTACAAAGTGTTTTATGGAGCTCCACGTGAACACAGCTTATAGAGCACTACATACGTAAACACATGAACACGAATGCGTGAGTTAGTATGACTAGTCTGTCAGTCCACTCATTTCGAGTATGACTCACTCCGAGACCCCGCTATTGATCGATCTTACTTTATCGATCGTAGCTTGTCGTATATATGTTTGGCTGCTGAGTGCGTGCAATAAAGCCCAGAGTGGAAAACTGTTTCTTTGGAAGTGAGATCTTGGAAACCAGATTATATATTGCATACATACATATATTGCTTACATTTGTATAAACTTCAGTCTTTTCTTAGCAAACAGTAAGCCCAGCATTTCTTGTTATGTTTGGTATTTTGGTAAGCCCAATACATGTGTCTGGCATATTGAACTTAAATCCTCTAAGGAAGTTGTACATTTGGAAACAGAGGAGGAACACTGAGGAATAAGACCGATCAATACGATTTCTTTAAACAGCTGGCGCAGTTTCCGAATTCCCGATTAGGTATTCGTCAAGCAGTGTGTTCTAGCTGTGAGCGTGCGTGAGCTCCAACACTCATCATTATTTAACTTCATATTATTCTATCAACTGGATATCAGCTATCACCCACTAAACTTGATAATAGGGATTTAGGTTGCCTTTAATTCAAGTAGTATTACATGTTGAAAAAAAGGGGCCTGTTTGAAAAGTGGTATTAATTAAAGAGACAGATAATAATGTCCGTGGTACTTCACCTACTGATGGAACGAAAAAATCTTCGCTGCGGAGTTATTTATTATAAAATGCCAACTGAACAGTTGGCATTGGACAGGGAACTGCAAAAACTGAATGTCCATCTTCTTGAACGCGCCTACCTGAAGTTTCCTGGATATTCATTGACTGTTACTCAAATGCAAGCAAGTGCTACGAAGCGACTTCACGAATTCCGTAATGGATCTCATTTTTCAAGAGACGCCAAGCAGACTTACGATAACACATACTAATCGCATAACCCCCATCAGTGGTATTACCGTTACATTGATACTACATAAATCGGTCGTACACGCTTGCTCAGGTGGCGCAACATCCATGACGCAGACGAGCAAGCGTGGTAGTTTGTCGGCAGCGTACAACCAAAGTTCTGTTGTTTTTGCACAAACAAAGGCAAAAGCTTAATATTCAAGTATCTGTAGTATGAAATTTCGAAACTGGATGGAAGGTAACACAAAGTGAGGGAAGTCAAATGCACATTTCGTGATTCCAGGACAAAGATCCCTCCACGTTCAGCGAAGACGGTCTTTATGGGAAATTAAGGATTTCAACTTGAATATCGTCCTGAGACTAAAATGTACATGCAAGCGTCAGAGATGGCGCTTTGTTGGAAAGCAGTCACACTACACCGGCCGGAGAATGAAGAGGCGTAGTGAGGACATATCATTAACCTAAGCAATCGGAAATTGGAAGGTCAACTAAGGCCATTGTTTATTATGCCGAAAGCTCGTTCCAGGATTTTACTGGGTCGACCAGAGAGACCGATCCCACCGAGCAATAAAGGCTAGCTGAACAGTGGAATTTCGGAACAAACAAACACCACCTTCAGTGGCTGTGGATAATTTAGAGAAGGCACAATCTCGGATACGGAATGCTGTGGTGTAGTCCTGCTGATCGACCGAAGGCACAAACTGGGCGTGCCGTGGATAGTCGTGTGTGGTCAAGTTTAGTGGGCAGTATGTCGTGGAATGAAGTTTTTCCAGGGCTATTAGCTCAGCTGGCCGGTGAAAGTTTTGGCTTTTAGTTGACAGGTGGCTAGAGTTCGACCAATTCACATCTCAGTAAAATATGGAATACCCCTAAAAGTGTAGTACATCGGAACAAACGGAGACATTAAAGATGGTTTCTTAGTGCCGGTGTGCTCATATGTGCAGCTTATCACATCAATCTAAAGATATCTGAGGTGCATGAATACAGAGTTCACCTCCACCAAGCTCTCAAGACAAATGATGGGTCGAAATTGTGCTGACTGGAAGTTATATGAATTTCTGAACTCAGCACAACCGTGGTGGATTTAGAAATGACAAGAACGTTTGTACAAATGGCAGTCAAACCACAGTATGCAACTCCAAACTCTATTAATTTTAAACTAAGAAACTGCTGTATCGTTACTAAAATAATCAATATACGCTGGGAAACCGAGCGGTTTTCAGTCTGTTAACCATACAACGCATCTACCAAAGAAATGAGGGTGGAGAACTTACTAGTACTCATCCTTGTAATAAAGTGAGTGCCAATAAGCTAGTTTCAAACATATTCCCGTAACGATGAGAATAATGGCGATTGAGCTGGTGATGACCGCAGCTACCAATGTTTGGCGAACGGAAGGCTTTTGTTGTTTTGGTTTCTGGTAGATGGACGGATCCAGTACGGTAAAGTTAGACTGTTCCTTCTTCATTCTCTGCTGGAGAGTATCGCCGTACTCTACTCATCGGTTTATCCAACTGATTTTCGTGCCTGTTTCCGGTTTAGTGGTTGCCAATAGGAACCGTCGTGTTGACAAAATGTCGGACGGTGATTGGTCCAGGGGACGAGCGTGTCGTAGCTGCGCGATGCGTGTACTGGAAATGCAGCCAATCAGCGAGCAGATCAACAGACTTCACTTCGAGTGATGTCGGGCGCCGTGACTGGTCATACGTGCAGTCAGAGAGGATTTGAACGGAATTTGCGAACTGCACTCACTTTCACGCTAGGCAGTCAGAGAGGATTTGAACGGAATTTGCAAACTGCACTCACTCTCACACCAGTTTGTTTTTAACGAGAGACTCAACTAAATCTCAACTAAATCTTCCACTGAATGGGCTGCACAAAAGCCGTCTCCCTTCCAGTTGGTGTGATAATCCATACACCTCAGCATATTTTCCTGAGGGTTGACGGAAACTGGAGCATGGGTTGATGTGATTTTAACTCCGTAGATGTATGACTAGTTGCCGATACTTGCTACTTCAGACACGTTTTTAAAGGTTACGCAAACAATGTTTGTCTTTTACATTCATCCTATATACCATCTGTGTGTCTTTCATACCTGCCTTTTAGCTCCCATCACTCGTTTATTATGGGGGTGGAAAAAAGCTTAGATGTAGCAAACTTACCAATACACTATTTCATTATCATTCATCAGTGTGTTTGATGAATTCCGGTGCTCTGTCCTGTGGTTTTGGATCGATAAACAGTGCGTTTTTTAAGACAGATTTGTTGGTAAACCAAAATTGGTTGCAAACCCTGTTGTCATACGCTGCCGTCTGTCCCGAGAATTTGCTTATAAAGTACATTGAAAGCAAATTACGGAGCTCCAGTTAATGCGCTGAACATGTGATCGTCAAATTGGTACTGGATAGACCTTTGTAGTTTAGAAGTGCTCTCGTGCAATTGTGAGTGCCATACTCTGTAACCCCCATATGATCTTTGAATTCTGCAGATTAAAACTTTACTTTCAGCCCAGTACAAAAACATACAACGACCAATTTATTCTGGAAAAACAGGTTTTCAAGATACAAAAAAAGATACAAGATAAAAGCATCATACACGAGAGATTCAGCTGAATTTCAGGTTAATCTCCCTTCAAAACCAAGTTGATAAGCACATGAGTGTATTTTGCTGATTTCATGCAGCTCTGTTCAAGTAGAATACAAGGTTGGCGGAAACTTGGGAACTGAGCCTAGCATTTGGGCCCCAAGAAGGCAGAAACCGGCCGTGGGCTGTCGAAGAGTTTCCAACAACTTTATGAGTAGTGCGTTACGTCTATACATGTATCGCGATATCTGGAATATCGTACAAATTGATACATGAGTCGGCCTGTTGCAGCACATTCAGTTGCTTAAAATCATCAAAGAACGAGAGATTCAGTTGGGTTGCAGGTGAGTCTCCGGTCAAAACCAAATTAGTATGCAAATGCGTGTATTTCGCTACATCATAAGTGCTTCACTGCTGACCAAACCAGCAGTGTCCATGAAATAAAAGAACAATACATAAACGAGCTGGTTTCACTCACAGGATTACCGCTATATTTATGTCACTAGCTGAAAAAGCCAAAAGGTTTCCACTCCGAAATACAGGTGGCTATCCTGAAGCGATTTCGTCCAAAGCATATGTATTCAGCCAATTCCGTAGTTAGCTTTGCAAAGTACATTGAGTTCCAGGTACTTCTCAGTATCCCTTCCTCCCGAAGAAAAAACACAAAGATGACCTCTTTGTGGTTAAATGGAACATTCATTTTCTCTCATGGTGAGCTGATCCGGCGAGAGCGTTTATGCTGTAATCCAAACCTAACAGTTTTGGATAAAAATCCCATCATTTCCAGATTCCAGTTGTTTTCGTACTTCAGAATTTCCTTCAATTTGATGGAATCATCCATGTGGACGAGCGTTTTAGCTGCTAATCGACTTCTAATAGCAAATTCATTGCACGGCGTCTTCCACATAGAGAGCAGATCTTCGGAGATGTCTTGAAATAGTTCAACCAGTTCAGCTCAAGAACTTTTGAGAATGATTCTTGCATTCTGCATTCCACTTCGTTCCGTTTAACACCCGTTCTTTAGCTCACATATACTTTTCAAAGTTTGGTCATTCAGTTTTGATATGTACTTTTCATGGTTTTCACTAAAGTGCACAAACTAAAACCTGTAACCCACTCGATATCGGACGTTGAAGGCTTTTTGTCGGATCTTTCCTTTCATGCTGAATTCCTTGGCACTTAATTGGTCGATGCCCTGTGAGTGTTCGAGTTTATGACGGTCCAATGTGGAATCATCAAGGTTTCTCTTCTGGACATCCTGGAATTTATTGTGTGCCAGTTTCAATAAATTGAACTTCACATGTTGTTCTTTGATACTATAAAGGTGCAGTTTTCCCAAGGTGACCCATAACTTAGTATCAGGAAGGTCAGCTTCCTGAGCGCCCGAAACCTGCCGAGACTCTCAGCTCCGCTAGATGTTGACCGGACAGACAACGCCCCCTCAATGTGCAGCGCGTCACAGCTTTGTATCAAACCCAGACAGCGCGAGTCAGCGTTGAGCAAGGTCAGAAAACGCCCCCGCAATATGCAGTACGTCGCAGCCAGACCGTGTGCGTCAGTATTGGACCGAGTTCAGACAGTGTTCCTCCAGCTTGAGACCGTTGAACATTCACACTCGCACGCACTCACTCACGCTCTCGCACTCGCTTGTTCGGAATATAGCTGTTGTGTGAGTCTTCTTTCCGGGAACTAGGTACTGGTGCGCGTCAGCAGCAGATACTGCAGATTAGCGAATTAGCAGATATAACACTTAGCCAGCACCACACTCCACCATGTTGCATCTACCGCTGCACGAGTTTGGAGTCCACTTATCGAACGTTTACACACGTGCCCAAAGCATCTGTTTGATGGAATCCACGTGGTAAATGACTCTGTGTGGAAAGACGGATTAGTCGTGGGTAAATTCAGAGTTGCTTGCTGTCGTTCATCGATTCCGAAATTCAATCCTACATTGGCTAAACGATGATCACCAGCTGATATTTAGTGAACAACTTCCGACTGTTGGAGTAGGATTATCTGTGCAACGTTTTACACATTGCACCGCTCATTAAGTACTGAACATGAATCGTCATCACTCTTGAATCGATACAGACTTTTACAGATGGTTTTTGTAGGCAAGTTGCTAGCACTTGCATCCTGATTCCTCTGTCCAGAAGAAGTTGGATCCGTTTTCAGCTTACATAAGCCGACTGTCTTCTGTTAGTCTTATATATCAACAGATTTTGAGACAAGATGACTACCCAATGTCGTATTCACTACGGTACGGACGTGGCTTGTCTCTTCCTGAATTGGCACAATCTACTTATTAGAAAGTGGGTTCGGAAGGTACGTCCACTATCTTAAAGGTGCTCTCTTGTGTAAACTTTTCTTTTGGGTCAAATGAGGCGAATGGGGAATCAAATAGGTTCACAACCGACAAACTACCTGCCTGTTCAATCAACCACAACGTCTGGCGATTTTCAACTGAGTGCTAGAAAGCAGACGGAAAAGCCCGTTAAAGTTCATCATCAGAGCATCACGGGGAACTGTATCAAGACGTTTGTACCCAGATGTTCCATCGTTTGACCGAGTTTATACAGACGGATATCGGGATCATGAACAGCCACTGGCGGCAGTGGAGCAGCCCTGTTTTAAATAATCGTCCAAGATGTATTACCGAGAAAGTTCATATTCTTTACGTGCAAGCGATAGAAATGAATTCACGGGTCCACAAACTCTAAGTCCGTTTTAGATCCATTTCAAATTGGTCGTGGGCACCTAAAGTCTAAAACGGCCGTTGCCGGAGGCTCTGGTTTTCATCATTATGAAGTTAACAGAAACAAAGCCGGTATGTTTGGCTTGCTCAATTGGACTAAAACCACACGAAAACTTTATAAGAACCGATAAAATGTGGAAAAGTGGGTTCAGGCAAAGAACATCAAAATCCTGATCGATATGTTCACTACGTGAAGTAGATTGAGTATCTGTGGCTGAGAGTTTCAAAAAGATGTCCAAAACAGTGATCTGTGGTCCACAGTGACAGACTGACCGCACTCGAGCAAAACACTTCTCACTCACATCGTTGGTGTCCATATGAAAAACTCACCTTCAGATGAATGAACGATTGATTATTTCGGTGGGTTCAAAGGGAAAATGAGCTTAAGGCACTGCACACAAAAATGAAGTGATTTAAGAGTCGGACACCCTAGTCAGAATGTTGAAAGACCAAGAGTTGTGTTTTTTATTAAGCGAGTAGCACCATTCCCGGCAGAAAAACCTTTATTCTCCTAAATGCATTCAGATACTTGTCTCGTGTTGCTGATAAAAGTGACTGGTGAGCTTTATTCACAGTTCAGACATGACATAAGACAGTATAAAAGAACACATTTCAAGGTCATTAGTGAGAACTCATCTTTGAGGTGAAAATCATAGTAGATGTTCACAGAATTTCCTTATGCCTCTTTCTCACAAATACAATGGACCAAGTAATCCCAACAATCCGATTGGCTTGCGTGTTTTAAATATTGTAAACCGGCAAGTTGAAAAATGATGTCGCCGTGGAAATGAAAGGGTGTGGAACATACGGTTGACGGAAACTTGGGGGCTGCGCCTACAGCAGCTGTTGCACACACCAATGATGAGTTTTTCTACGAATTATACTGTGGTCTTTGTGCATAAAGGAAGTATTTATGACGAAACTTGGATGGTTGATGCGTAGTTGAGATAGCGTGAAAAATCTTACCTGTCCCACCTTGCTCAACAGACAGCTGGAATCCAGTCCCCAGTACGGCCGATTCTAGTGAGGCGTGATGAGAGCGGAAATTCAGTTGACTATTGGCATCTTTGATATAAAATAATCAAGAACAACGTAGGACCATGAGCTGCCATTATTCAACTATTTCAAAGCAGTAGGACCTCATTGATCAGTCTTTGCCTTGTCGGTTACATCGACTAAGTTGATCTT